TAGGGTTTAGGTTAGGGTTTAGGTTTTAGGGTGTATAGCTCGAGTTTACTATAGACTCCCTGAAAGCCCCCATCATCGGAAGGCACACCGCCCAAACATGTACCCCTCTCAAAACCTCAGCATGCCACAGTGCTCGGGGTTCGGAGGGTTTGGGGATCTTTGGCGTTCTGGCATCGGGTTGTAAGTGGTATGAAACCTCCCCCCAGTCTGGGGACCTCGATCGCGGGTGCACCCGGCGCATTCACCTCACAAAGCTGAAGCGCTCTATAAACAGTCTGCAATGCTTTCGGTGGATTTCGGTGGATGGTAGCGAGATTACGGAGGGAAGGACTGCTGAAGCTACCACATCATCCCTAACCCCCCAGGTACCTACTATATAGGGTACTAGAGCCCTTTAGGGCCCTATATAGTAGGTACCTGGAGGGTTAGGGCATGGTGTCCCTACAACGTTCATGCTCACACCTGCAGCAACCTCCAGCCTTCGATCCCCGACTCAAAGGCCTTAAGACGTGATGGTCAAGGTCTAGGCTCAACTCACAAAAGAAGGGTTTAGGGTTTAGGGTTTAGGGTTCCCTAAGCCCTAAACCCTCAACCCTCAACCCTAAAACCCTGAACCCTAAACCCTAAAAGGCATCATGAGGATGCTCTTGCACGACTCGGATACACAAGCAACCTTATAACAGTCCAGCACTCCGCAGCTGAGCCATGGTCTGTCCAAAAAATACGTAGAAACACACCCTCTATAGCTTGAGGTATGTTCCCATTCAGGAAGGTACAGGGCTTAGGCCTCAGGGTTCAGGATCTGAGGCTCAGGGCTTAGAGTGAAAGATGAAGACAAACCCAACAATTGCACAGCCTCGGCGCGTTCACGCCGGGCAGAACGCTCGTGGCCAAGGGCGGAAACGGACAGATCTCTGGCGTGCCGCTGGCAATCTGCGGAGTGGTGACCTTAACATTTCCCGTTCTAGAAAAAACCCAGAGGCTGCCGCTTGGGGTTTCGGGCTTAGTGGAAGAACCGATAACCAGGAACAAGTTGTATATGTTTGCGCACACATGTAGGTAGGTAGGTAGGTAGGTAGGTAGGTAGGTAGGTAGGTAGGTAGGTAGGTCGGTCGGTCGGTCGGTCGGTCGGTCGGTCGGTGGGTGGGTGGGTGGGTGGGTGGGTGGTTTGGCACGCATGCTTTCACACACACACAAAACACAAACACACACACACACACACGGAGATGTGTGTATACACATATATACACATATCTTTTGACCTAATTCTATGTGTCTATGTATACGTACATGTTTGTATATCTATATGCATATATACACATTTCTTTACATGTTTTGCATATATATATATATATGGTCACACCCCCCCCCATGATCCACCCCAGCCTTCTGGCCATCTGTTCGCCCACAATCTTATGTCTCCGAATGCTTTCTCCGAAGTCCAGAAACCATCGGTATTTACGGTGGTTTCTGCACTTCACACATACTGACCTCTACTTATTGTGTTTGTT